TTGCTGATGGCATGGTGGATTGTGCACAGGTCCTGCTCAGAAAGTGAGTCCCATGCCGAGAAACACACCACCCTAACTACTTCCTCTCCTATCCCATTTGGAGCAAACATAACAAACCTTGGATGACGACAACAAAGGAAACTCAAGTGGCTCCAAACCAAAAAAACATATATATATATATATATATTATGGCCATGGACTATGGCATGTCCAGCTCAGAGTCGCTGCCCCATCGGAGCAGAATTGGAGTAGAGACATCACAAGCGAAGAACCAGGAAACACCTTTGGAATAGTTGAGTCTGTCTGTTTTTCATGGTACCCCCTTTTTCGCGTGTTTACCAAAAGTTGAAAAAGCCTTAACCACAGAGACCCACAAATACTTGGAAAGGTCGATGGTCTTGGTTCGTATCACTGGCATTCCTCGCCTCGAAGTCTGCGACCTGGCACTTGCCGGCTCGGCCCACATGCTGCCGCACCTGGGACATCGGAGGTATATGTGTTTTTCATGGGGACCTCTGCATGGTGGGATTGATGCCCTCCCACTGTTAAGAGAGTTCCCTCTCTGAATTGATAGCCATTTATGCTACCAGTCAAAGTTACAGGGATTGAACTTGAAAGGGAAACAACAGATCAACATACACACCTGTCAGCAAGCCAGCCGGCCGGCCGGCCAGCCAGCCAGCGAGTCAGTCTGTCTCTGTCTGTCTCCGTCTGTCTCTGTCTGTTTGTCCGTCCGTGAGTCAGTGTGACAGACAGTGGAGGTGGGGAGAAACTGTCTGCTTTTGACAAAACTCTGGAAACAGTCAAACGCATGGGCGCAGTGGGAAGGCAGTCTGTAGCGAATTGTCTCTCAAAGGTCCCAAGTGAAAGCGGGCCTAAGCACTATGCCACATCATCGCACATTTGAGGCAAGCGCGATGCCAAAAACGAAGTGATTGTTTCGACGCACACAGTGAGCACATATTTTCAACCCGTCCACCAACCGACAAGCAACAATGATTGAATCAATCAGCATACCACCACCAAGCCCACCACCGGGAAGAATGGTAAAGACTCCTAGACACGGGTCCGTATGTGCCACGTCCAGACTATGCCAGCTGCGGGTCATGGTCAAGATTCCTGACTGTTCCCAACATGGGAGCCCAAACATTGCTTGCCTAGGTCACCTGCTAAAAAGCCCAAGCATGCGCCTGCTCCAGCAGGCTTGCCGCAGCTTTTGCCTGTGCCAGGTAGCAAGTGGATCAAGTACTCAAGGTACACAAACAAGAGGGACCAGCATAGACACGGGCAACTCAACTGAAATGAAGGACACCCCCTCTGAGATTTGGAATTGAGCCGACACATCACAACACAACACATGCAAGTACATGAAAGTACATGCAAGCAATTGGATCTGTGCACAAATCACCTGCTTGCAGACCTCAGGAGCTTGACAATCGTCAACCAGTCAGGGCCATTGCTACAATACCACTGGCAATTTTAAGGCGGGCAGGTACTGTACGAGGCAATCGTCGAAGCCGTGTGCCTAATGAACCCATGTGCACGAGGCAATGTACCCCGAACAAGCTTCACTGGCCCTTCTGGTTCAAACAGTCGAAGGCCTCAAGAAAGTGCAAGAACCCATCGAAGCGCCAAATCCGACCTGAGTATGAAATTTAACTGGGGACGAATGACTCTCGTGGTGTGAATTTCATGGGGTGCTTTGTTAAATGTCCACCAAGCATTCTGGAGGGCGTCCGGAATGCAGTGTTCAACCTCAAACCTAGGATTTGAATCCGTTGTTCATCATTTTAGCCAAGGCAAAGATGCCAAGACGGTGCCAAACCTTGACCCAAGAACTCTTCGTGCGATTGACGGGCCTCTCGGTCGAAGAGGGTGTTGCGGTAGCGCTCACGAGCCTCACCTTGCGTCCCGGGAACGACACTGGGGCCACTGGATTTTGTTTTTTCAAAAGTTGATCAATTTGCGAGTCACAATCAAATCCTGGTGCTAGAATGGTCTACTCAGAACCATTTAAAGAATTAACAGGGCGGCCGCACCCATTTGTGGTTGGGATTGTCCCTTGCCAAGCTTCATCTAGCTGGGTTTTGATTGTGCCTCAGGTGGTGTCCATTGAACTCGCCACTGTTGGAGGTGGCCAAAAAGGGGCATGGCTCGGAAAGCCTGATCAAGACTGCGGCAACCCAAAAGTGCATAGCTGAATTTGCATAGCCAAGATTCGCGGCAACCTATGCGTCATAGCTTACAGAAATCACAGGGATCAAGCATTATGGAAACTGGCTGGACTCCTCAAGTGGCAAAGCGCACCTGGGGTACTCTGGGAGCCCACTCACCTTCTGTCTGGAGGATGTTCACCATCTACCAGCCAAAACTTCTTGGGTACAACAAGGCACCAGGTTCTACCCAACACCTGAAACAATGATGCCACACAATTCAATGGGGGAAGCCCGGTATAGTCGGACAAAACTTGCTGGTGCGATAGGTATGGAATGACAGTTCCGGGTGTTGAACTGTTGGGAACGAACCGTTTGGGGAGAACCCATTGCTGTTCTTGGGGTCATTCCAACTCATTCCCTGCCTGATGAATCGGACTATGGAACCAGCCCTGGGACCCAGGCCCATGGCTCAGGCTCTCGATTTCGCGAGCGAGCGGAGCCGAGATGGACACGGAGGGAACCTCAAGCCCGTTTCCTGAGACCAGGTCCAAACCGACCCATTTCCTTGGGTACTGTAACGACCCCTCTGCAAAGAGTGCTTGACTTTTTGTAGGTTCAACGGAAAAACCAACTTGATTTCAACCAAAAAGCTAAAGTCCGAAGATCCAACCCAACAGCAATCAAGGTTATGCCGAGATCTGTTAGAAGTTCACCCATTTGGAGACAAGCCCGTTTACTGCTACCCTTTTCGCCGTTGGTTTGAAGGGAAGCCGAAAGGAACGCCAGCCATTTTTGGGCCCCCTGTTTTGACACGCACCCAACATCACCCAATTATAGAACCTACCCAGAATAGAAGGATACATCCCAAAACCACCTGCTTTACACGATCCTCTGAGTCAGCTGGTAAAGGTGACTTTTGGCTAGCCCGAATGCAGCCTTCGAGGGACCCTGCGAAATGATGCGAAATGTCTCTGCAAGAACCTCTAGCCAGCTTCCAGGGTTTGTGGAGAGAGTACCAGACAATATGCCAACTGGGAAGCCATCCAAATGCTGAAAATCGTGTGGCGTTACGTCCCAAGTTTCAAATTCCACACTGCTCTCCATTTTGTTTTGTGGCATCTATGTCCTTGATTTTCATGAGCCTTTGGCATACAATGGTGCTGAATTTTAGTTTAGCATCTACTCTTGTTTGCCCAAGTGTTGAAGGCAATCCCCTCATTTTGTCAACTCCTCTGATTGATCGAAGGACTCCTTATGGATGGCGGCTTACCATAGTTTTGCCACAGCTCAACCCTCCCCAAAAGGTGCAAGCAAAGGTGTTAGAACGTGTCCACAGATCAGGACGCCGGCCAAAGAAAGCCAGTGGCGGGCGCCGCACAAAACAAGTGCCGAATGGCGGCTGCCTGAAAATGCTTGTTCCAGGAAACTCTATCTTCGCGAAACAAACAAACCAACTTCCCTGACCTCCAAAGCGGAGTTACCTCCATTGAGTCTTTGCTATGTTGAAACGACTTTTGCGGCAACATAGTAAACAATCACTTTCGCAAGGTCCATCGCGGAGTTTTCGCGGGGCCACACACACAAGACCAACCGGCCTTCGCATTCAGATCACCATACAAGAACCTTTCGGGACGACTCTCAAATATTTCTTTCAGTAAATGTTGATACGTGAACGCATCCGGACAACAATATGGATCCCCATAGATGGAAGCCGGTTCCCGGAAAGGTGACTCCTCTAAACATGATGGTTAGGTTCCACGTTAATCTGAACGGTAGATGTTCAACTTGAGACAAGGCAGCGTGCTTGTCTAAGGCCTTTCCAGCTGGCAAAAAATAAAGCTGGGTCTCTGATCGCTGCAAATCGTGCGCCACTGAACATCTGAAGCAGGTTGTTCGACTCACCATGTCATCAAACTCATGTCGGCGCCGAATGGCAAATGCAAATGTGCACCCCCTGCAAGACATGTCTAGCCTTCGCTGTTGCTTCCCAAGTTGACAATGATCGATGCGCAAAAATTACCAGGAACAGAGAAAAACATGTATGTTGCAGACCAGACTGGCTTGCTGAATGTCGCGGACCTTTTTTGAAGCCAATGGTGGCGACGCCTGTACAATGCGTCCGGGGCTTGCCGCGAGCAATCGCCCAGCTCTGCACGAGACCCGGCTCGGAATGCATCACGAAGACTGAGGTTGTGCACTTATGATGCGCATGGCATTGATGCTATCCTCCTAGACCCTGGGTTTTCTTTTGGCTTCTTTTTAGAAAAAGGGTGCCTTTGCCACTTTCCTGACTTGGCTTTGGCAACGAATGGCGCCTTTGGAGGTTCTTTCCTCTTGAAGCTACAAGTCAAAGGACACCCGTTGAGTTGGGAGCATCCCGCCCCTTTCCATGCGATTCGACCAACCCGATGCAGATGCCCTATCACCGACAATGATGAAGGGTTAGACTCTTGTGCGGCCAGCATAACTTGATACTGTTTGGGCGTCTTCATCAAAGATGACGAACCCCGCACCAGAATATGCTAAAGCTCACACAAGAAACAGAACCACATGAAGTCCACCATTTCCCC